CCGCGTTTCCGCGCTCCATGTAATGGCACCCTGATTACGAGTAAAACGTCTCTGTCTCTCATTTTTTCCTCTCTTCCTCTCCTCCCACCTATTTAAAATTATTAAAATATTCAACAAAGTATGTACACAAATGACAGTGACTATGTTTACACGGCACGATTTACGCCTAAGTTATAACATCGATGTTATGAAACTGGCCAATCACAGTCATTCCATTCTTCTGAGGAATAGCTATATGATTGACTAGTTTCATAACATCGATGTTATAACTTCAGCGTAAATCAAATACTTTTTAACAAATAGCCGGAAATTACTTTTTCAAAAAAGGATTTAAACTAGGAACATACAGATATAAGTCTAAATTGTCAAATATCTTTTACGACTTCTTTCTTTCGAAAATTATTTTGTTCTATATTTCAAAATTTATCACTTTTCCATTTTTAAACAATTTTTTAAAAAAGTTTTTGTTTGCGATTTGCATAAAATGTTTTTATAAACATCGTAAACATATTTTTAGTATTGGTGGAACGTTTTTTAAATGCCATAGAACAGACCTCTATATCATTTTTTTGTTTAGTCAGAAAAAATTAATAAACAAATTACTTTCCAAAAAATACTGTTTATGCGATTATTTAAAAAATAGAGAGTTGTGTCGATGATTATGATAATTGAAACACAATCTGTGAACGAAATAAGTGTTTAGTGATTTTATAATTGGAAAGCACTCAACAATAACGACAATTATCATGCACGCACGCATATTTTCTTACTTGTTCGGCGAAAAATCGTGATCGTGCCTCCTCAAATTCCGTAGCGGACCTTATATTCGAAAATGCAAAGCCCTTGGTAAGCGTGATCTTCGTAATTGGTATCTTGGCCTCGAATATCAATTCTTTACTGATGTCTTTCACTCCGCAATAGTCGTAATAGTAGTGAGTAGTAGCTGAGTGTGTGTTCACCCTTTCATAATAGACCTGTAGAGCGAAAGAGTGAGAGAAGGTTTGTCAAACGCGTTTTTAACTTTTCTGCTATCGCGACATCAATTATTATGGACGCGATTCACTAAAAATTTCGTTAACTAAACGAAAGAAAGAATTTTATAAATCTTTGTCCAATTTTTTGTCAAATCAAAAAATGTTTCAAAGCAGATGCAGCGTAAAATGAATCCCACGGTTGCCAAAGTATCAATTCATAGGTCGTCTGAAAAGTTTTGAGCCTCAACATGAAGATGGCATTACTCGTCAAAACAATTTTGGTACTATAATCGTACATACTTTGAAAGATACCTGCGAAAATTGTAGCTACTTCCGGCGCTTAATTGTTGTTTGACAGTCATTTGTGCCAGTCAATGTCAATGTTTTTGTAAAAATGGAAAAAATCGAATATCAGCAGTCGCCATGATAAAAATTCACGAATTGAATAATCGAATTAATTGACCATCCACCGTATTCACCAGATCTGGCCCCCAGCGACTTTTTTCTGTTTCCTAGGCTCAAAGTTTGGATCGGAGGACAGAAATTTTCATCGAACGAGGTCATCGCATCCGTAGACGCCTATTTTGCAAAGCAAGACGCTCAGTATTATTTGAATGGATTAAAGGGGTGGGAGCATCGCTGGAAAAAATGTATCGACTTAAAAGGAGACTATGTGGAAAAATAAAATTGAATTTGACCGAAAAATTACTTGTTTCTATGTTAGGCTCAAAACTTTTCAGACGACCCTCGTATATAACGTAATGAAAAGTGAGCAGTCCACGCAATTCCGTAATTTTCATCATGATGAAAATGTGATGAGCCATCTCACAGGAATTCATATGTCGAGAAATTTCTTGTCGAAAGGTGAAATTCGAGAGAAAAAGACTGGAGAGATAGAGTGAGAAAGGAATTAGATATTTCATGCTTCACGAAAACGTAGAAGGCATTTGCCACGAAATATTGAAATCTAAATCCTCCTCCCCCCGGTCTGATTTTAGCTATACTAAAGGCTACGTTCCAAAACTTCCTCTCCGAGGAAAATTTTACTCAAAATATATAGTAACTATAGCATATAGAGTAAAATCTTCCTCGAAGAGGACGTTTTTGAATGTAGCCTAATAGGGGAGGGGAGGAGAAACAGGAACCATCTGATGGATATGCTTATCTATGTGAAATCGCACTCCTTTAAAACAGAAGATCTATCATTCGAATTACGGCTGTGATTTTTCAAAGTGGATACATAAAGATCGAAAATTTTTAAATTTCTTTTATAATAAATCTTTTATAATAAATAGTTTTTTTCTATTTTAATCTTTCAAGCGACTTTTGTGAATATGCTCATGAGCTCGTGCTTGAAAAGATTAAAGAGGAAAGCATATTCGATAAAAGGTACTATGCGGCGCGTCACCTGTGTGGTGGTATAATTATCTCCATTCCTATAACGCGTGATTTGCCGTTTCCTGCGCACGTAGTGATAGGAAACTGCTTTCCACCATATTCGCGGCTGTGCCATCTTTAGCTGTGCCAATTTGGACAACACGCTGTCCTGGCTCTCCGCGTGTAATAGATCGATCCTGATTGGCGAGTGGTAGCACTCCACCAGATAAACCAGATACAGCATCCCCATAAATGCTACCTATACGATAAAGAGAGGGAAAG